TCCAGTTCTCCCTGTGGCTGGTTTCCAATGGTTCTCTAACTGATATCAATCCGTTATCTAACTCTAAAACACAAATCAAATCCTTACAAACCAATTCTTGAAAATAATCTGATTCTCTGCAGTGATTTACTACAGAATGAAGTTTTTTGGAGTTCTAGTGAGAAATCGTGACCACTGAGGTCCATCCAGTCGGGAGTGAGGATGGATTTCCCACCGATGACATTGGTTGGTGGTTACGCTAGAAATCATAAATTTGTAGAAGTTAGAATTGGCGGGTCGGCCATTGAATCGGGTCCCAGTGGTGTCTGAATGGTTTACGAGCTTGCCTTGTAACCGAAAGACCCTGGGTTCGAACCCTGGCACTGGGTGCTTACTAATGAAGAGTCCCAAACTAGGATGAAACAGTTGTTAGGTACTCCCAGCTGGTTTTCAATGGTCCTCTAACTGATATTGATCGGCGGTCAAACTAGTAAAATAAATCAACTCTTACAAAAACAATAATTCATCAACTATAATCTTAGGTGAACACAACGCTATTTCGAAGTGTTTTTGCTTTGCAGTGAAAAAACTCAATCTAATAATCTTTTGTTTTTCTACTTTTTGACTTCAATAATTGCAACTTCCTGGTTCACGTTTAAGGTTATTTTAAGTTTACAGCTTATTTTTAATAGTTAAAGTTGTTGGCTGAATTTTCTGATTTGTAGTCCCACACGTATTTGAATGATAAAACGTTTAATAAAATTAAACTATATTATTATCTATTCGTATCACACGACTTCCTTTGAGTTGTATAAAAGCACGAATTTTAAAAAAAAACGTTAAAACTTTGATTACTACAAAAACTTACATCATCAGTAGTCACAATTTTCCAATTTTATTGGGCTTTACTGTTTGTAATACACCGTCAGTTTCAGGATTAACCTTATTTCATTAAGTTTGGTAAGTTAGACAGAAGTATGAAGATTTTTATTGAGATATTTTATATAAAAAGAAAGAGGTAAAGTGGATGTCGTTGTTACGATCTAGGAAAGCAATGAATATGGCTAGCTTAACCTGAATAAGGCATTCTTGCCTATTGACAAGCGCACGGTATAACTTCGTTTTAGTTAAACAGTTGCCATATTTCAGTCAGTTATTGAAAGATGACTTAATTGTTAGAAGGTATAGTGAATTCATCGATATGATAGAACGGTGATAGAGGTGTGTAGCAGAAAAGTCTTATTTTGATAAAATCACACAGTGGTGTTATACAGTAATATTCATTGATGACCATGCAACCAGCACAAATTATTCCTGCTCATATCAAGGCTCTACTAACAACAGACTTTCTTGCTTCATTTATATACACGAGTAAAAATTGGTTAGACATTTAAATAAAATCAACATAAGATAGAGTACATTCGGAAATAATGGTATCAGTGTTATCAATCAAATACAACCAGATGGGAAATAAGATGTTTTCATAGTAAAATAAATAAATAATTTTATAATCTGAATTGAATACATTTTAACATTATTTATTATACTTGTAATTATATCTTCTGTGCATATCTTTAGTAACCGCACTGCGTCACTTCTATTGCATGTGTTGTGTTGGGTGTGGACTTGATGAACCAGGCAGGATTCAGTAATCAATCTCTTTCCCTCTCTACCTGCCTGTATTAATTCTTAGAATTTCGACTCTCTTCCACACCTCCTGTTGTGTGGTTGTGTGTTAATGCATGCAGTGCAATGTAGTGCTGAGCTTTTTTTCTAAATTACTCATCTTCATGGGATCAATCATTCTCACCTTAGCTAAATTCTTATGTTCTGACAGGTAATCTCACTACTCCTGATCTACTAGTTTAACTGATCTATGTAGTCTATCTAACTCACGGTCATTGCCAGGTATTTTGTTAATTAAATTATTTTGTTTGATTAGGTCGACCGGGTTACGGTTCATCGAGTCTATACCCAACACATACAATAGAAGTGACTCAACACAAATACCAGAGATATGAAGATATTATTACTAGTCAAATCAGGTGATAATAAGTAATGTTAAAATGTATTTCAATTCGCATTCTAACATTCTAACGAGTCACTTATTTTTACTATAAAAGCATCTTATTTCCCATTTGATTGTATTTGACTGATAACTCTAATATTATTTCTGTATGTATTCCATCTTATATTGATTCTATACAAATGTCTAATCAATTTCACTCATTAAAATATAAATGAAGCAAGAAAGTTGTGTGATTAGCGCCTTGATTTGATTATGAGCAGTAATAATTTGTGCTCGAAATGTAGTCACCAGTAAATATAACTGTACAGGACTGTGTGATTTTATCAAATTAAAATTTTTATCCATAATGGAGTTATACTCTACCACAGTGCACAAGCTTTATCCTTATTTCAAGTGTAGCAGAAAAGTTAATTATTTCTGCTCTTAAAGAACTTGTCTTCTCAAAGTCGCAAAATTTTCTCAAAAGAGAGTGTGGTACACATTTGAATAAGTTATATTTGAAAAATTTAAGTGAAATTGAAATAAGGAAACTGGTACAGTTTAAATATACTGTTATAACAATGCATTTCACGTATGGCCACAAGCTAATATTGGTTAGAGAATCACTGGATGCGGGGGAGTACTGGACAGACGTTTCGTCCTAGTTTGGGACTCGCCAGTTGTGCGCACCTTAAGGGGTTTTGAATGATTCTCTAAATGATATCACTCCTTGATCAAATTTGAAACAAACCAAATTTTTACGAAATAACTATGGAAAATAACAATACACTTATAAGTATGTGTATGTCATAGCGTTAGTGCACCTGCTCAATTACGTTATTATAACCATATCCTTTAATTCTCAGAGGAACATAGGACTTCAGCTGCACATCTCCATCGCCTTCGGTTTTCTACCAACATTTTCACCCCGCTCCGAATCTGCCCACGTGCTTTCATCTCCTCTTCACATGACCACCTCCAAGTCACCCTTGCAATGACGGCCAACTCGTCGCTACCCGTTAGGGTTCCACTCGAGCGACGGCCTGGCGTGTGATGTCACTTGATGGTTTCCTCAGTGTATGGGCCAATCCATCTCCATTTCTTTCTGCCTATTTGTTTCACAATCGGTTCCTGATTGGTTCACTCCCAGAGATCCCTGTTGCTGATCTTTTCTGGCCCGCCATCTGATCTTGAGTATTGGGCGAAGAGAACTGTTAATGAAGGTCTGAAGTTTGTTGGATATGCTCTTTATGACGCGTCAAGTCTCTGGTCCGTATAATACTACTGACTTCACACTGAAGTACACGACAATCTTAATTATCTCGCTCCTTTTTTCTGAGTCAAAAAACGGTGGAAACCAGTTTGACAGGTATCATTTAATATAAATGACAAGGTCTCTGTTCCGAGTGGATTTTAACCTCCAGACATGTTATAAGTGTGTCTCACATATCATTTTGATATTCTCCGACTTACACGCTTTATCTTCAGAACATTCGGCGTAATTTCACTTATCAGCCCTCGTTCAACTATCAGTGATACTAAACTTTAGGTTAAGGCACTGTGATACCTTTTAATTGATTCCATATTATGACTGAGAATTCAAAAATCTTTCCACTAGTTGATCAGCCGTCAAATGGGCTTGTGTTAAGCTGTCGGATAGGCCATAAGAAAGCAGCACAATTGTCAGCTAAATTCTCATATACAGTTAATCACATTATTCTTCAACCTTAGGTCGAATTTACACTTAACAAAGCGGTTAACCATCTGCAGTGTATACAGTTTGTGTAGTGGAATTTAACCATAGCAGTTTCTTTTGGTAACCGGATCATTCAGATCACAGTATATGATCTGCTTGATAAGTGGTAATCAAGAAGGCAAGAATATTTGCTTAAAACTATATACTACTGATTAACTGAAATAAGTAGTTGTATGCCGCTTAAATCAATCATTATGGGTTGCTAGGCTGACCTAAGTGATCTAAGCATCGAAAGCCTTTTTCACACTTTTGAGTACAGAGCTCATCAGTAGTTTGTCCGGTTTGATTCAGCCCAGATAGCCGGATCACTTCAACCCCCGTCAGATTTTTGGCTAGCCAATCGGGCGAACTGATATTACCATAAATCAAAACGGTCTCTGTGGGTTCAGACTATTTCTATCTGGTTGATATGAGTGATATAAAACTACTCGTATGGATCAGTCAGTAGTTTGTGGTTTGATTATCCTTCAACGACTAGTATAACTCAGAAAATAAGATCCCTTGTCCATCACAAAACTGTCATCATTCTAAGGCATTAGCCAAATGCCATATCTGATAAGAAGCTTATTCTAGTGGTATACATTCTTCGCATGCTTCAGACACTTTAGTTAGGCTTGGGTAAACTACAGTCTTAAGGTTCTTTCAATCCAAGTTGAAAGCCTATAAATCATTATATCAAGATTTTGGTTAATCCATACTACCGGATATGATGGCGCATCTGATGGTCAGTTTAGGTGAATCTTAGCTGTAGATAAATCTTAAAGTACAAGGATAATTTGTTATGTATTTTAAAAAAAAGAAAGTAAATTCTTAAAAAAATCCACACCCAACACTAATTTACGCATGCCGTCACCTGATTTCTTTAGCGTAACCAATGGGAACAATAAAAAACACGTTACGATCGATTGCAATATCATTTCTATTCCATTTACAAAAAAAATGATCTTAGTTTTTCTGTTTTCTAGTTCGGTTTTACTGACCGAATAATCTTCTAACATATCGATTATTTACGATTTATAAATCTTTTAACCAAAAACCAACTGATATATCTGCATTTGATTTCAATGTGTAGATATTGACGATTCACCTCGAATAGGACTGTTTGGTTGAGATTTGTGTTGAAAGCAGATTTCCCATGTAACAGCCTTGATATGTATGATGGGGAAGATTTGTACCTCAGGTGGATTATTTTGATGTGTTTGTGTTCTCTGAGCTAGATGGTTGGTTTGCGAGGCTTTCATTGCCCTACTAGGCGACATCTTCAAGGCAAAATTCAATTTGAAGTCTTCACACCTCTGGACAGACTGTTTGGTAATTCTACAGGTTAAGAGAATGAAGAATTCACAGGAATCAATAAATGATCTGCTTCTTTTAAGAGGACTACAGAATAAAAAATGGTGTATCTCTTACATGTAATGAGTAGTTTTCAGAACAGTTTAACTCAGAAGACACATCCATCTGAGTAACGAAACTTCTCCAATAAGCGTAAAGTGCCTTCCTCTTTAAAAATAAACGACATAGGTATTGAACTTCGATAAAATACATTAAACTTTCAAACGGAAGGAAAGGCAAAACCTAAGGTGGACACTCCAAATTCTCTCACGTCTAACACACATCAGAGAAATGAAATAGAGAACGGTGTTGTTTCGCTTGTCTTGTTGTCCATTTAGTGAAAACTTAAGTCAACAGTGACGATCATTCATCCTAATTCAGTGCCCACTGACAACTAAATAATGCTCAAGTGTTGGTTTGTAGGGATTTGATTGACTGGTTACAGGATTTCATCATGAGCTGACAATGGTTGGAGAACCATTGGAAAACCAGCTGGGAGTACAGGACAGCTGTTTCGTCCTGGTTTGGGAGTCTTCATCAGTAAGCACCCTTGCAACCAGAAGGTCCCGGGTTTGAAGCTCAGTAGAGTGGGTGTGGGCTGATGAAGAGTCACAAACTAGGACGAAACAGCTCTCTAGTACTTCCAGCTGGTTTTCCAATGGTTCTCTAACCATTGTCAGTTCATGATGAAATCCTGAAACTAGATAATACGTTTCAAAAGTGAATTGACCTGAAATTTATTAACAAAGTCTTAAGTGAAGGAAACAATGACTCATTCATAACCTCACATGTATATCTGTAAGCAGTTTGAGTCACGAAATTGTATAAGCATAATTAATGTCTGTTTCCTCCTATCAAAGCCTTATTAAATGAGTAAAGTTTCATTTATTTTACGAACTAAGGCTATAAATGAATAAGGGAATGGTAATTGAACTGACGAGTAAAAGTCATAAAAAATATCTGGTGGTCAGATTAAATCACTGGGCTACTTAAATTTCCATCCAGTATAGTGCACCAAACTGTTCTCTATTGTTCTTATTTCTTTAAATCATCCAACGACGTTTTTGAATCACAATATAAACACGTACACAGTTTTTGTTTATGACGTAATTCTGTTCTCTCAGCCAACTCAGATAAAACACAGCCACATCGAAATCATCCACCTGAGCTGTAGATCTTCTCCATTATATTTACAGTCTTACACGTCTACAATGCAGACCACTTCTCAACAGAAATGAGGAAACTGTATTGTAGAGATTTGGATAATGCTTGAAGGTGGAACAATACAGCGTTACACAGTGCCCTACTAAATACCATTTTACTTGACCATCCAGTGTGAAGTATAGATATTTTACAATTTAAATATGCTGAGAATTCTATATTATGTGTTAACATACTGTCTAGAATAAAGCCATTATTGTTATTATTAGTATTTAGTTAAGAAGACTGCTTAGTTGATCCAAAATTCCCTGATACTTGAAAACAAATTACAGTTAACAGTTACTAAAGCCTTCTGAAAACAAAATCACACAACACAACTAAAAACATGAATTTTTCCTCAGAAGGCTGGTTAAATACGGGTTAAAGTGAGGAAACTTTGGTGCAATAATCCCTCCTGAAGGTAAGACTGATAGGGATTTTGGTGAACTCACTGTAGCACATAAATAATTTCAGAAATACAGTTAGCTGTCTATTTATTTGGTCATTTTTGACATGCTTATCATAAATAGGGCCTATTTAAAATTTGCGCCACCGAAAACCTCCAAATAATACATTGTATATAATTTCTCTGACTCATTTTGTTTAAATCTGGTAAAATATGATCTCTAATAGTGTTGTTCCCGCTGATGTGTATTTAAAACGTTTATAACATTCTGGTTTGCAAGTTTCTAGTAAACATGTGGAAAAGCATTATCCACGATGGCAGCTTATCTCAGTACATGAGATGTCCGTTCCTGAGTGGTTTTCTTGGCTTACAAGATGTACTACTGAACATTTTATAATTGGCACTCAAGAAAATGTCGTGTATCTCTTCAGGGAGACAAAGAAGAGCTATCGTATATAGCCATGTTACATAATCTACTATCAATTAATCTTTTATTTCAGGATCCTGGACGAAGAGAAAATATGTGACAAAGTCCGCTGAAAATTCTGTAGGTTATATAAACACTGTTCGGAATAAAGCTATAATTATTATTTTGTATAGAATACCAGGAAAGGTGATTCATGAAGTGGGCAGGTTTATAGGAATTAGAACCCATATTTCTCGATAAAATGTTTTGCATAAAGACGTTACCAGGTAGCTCTAACTATTTAAATACTGAATCGATTAGGCATAGCTACATCCTACTGAATGACCACGTTTCCCCTCCCCCAATGCGTTTGGTGTTGCCTACTCGTCTACTGTCTCCAGTTTACTTTTCATCGCATTAAATACTGAACTGTCAGGTAATATTCACATTGTTTCATGACACATTCTAAATATCGATTATTTCGTTTGATCCCATTATCTTCCTTCGAACTTGATTATAATCTGATGATCGATAAGCATTACTTTAAGCGGTGCTTTTGAGTTCTCAAAATTTGATTAAATCACAATACCTTCAAGAAATAAGAGTGATTTCTGGTTAGCCTACATAATATCAGTAGGAAGAGTCGTTTATGTATTCAGCATGTTGTTAGTGCTCTCCAATTATGATTGTGAACTGAGTTTTGAGGTGATGGTAACGGTTTGCTGATCAACTACATTTTAGTAAATTAATATTAAGGTTTGCTGTTCTCCTAGGTAAATAGGCTGTACTTATTTTTAACTAATTTTATTCTGCTAATCACACTGCTGTTCACTCCGTCGATGGCACAGCGGTAGGATGTTCGCCAACCACGGATGTAGTTCTGGGTTTCGATCCCCGGCTGACACACTCCTTTACCTCGTTAAGCCAGTAGTAAGACTAGCAAAAAGGGAAGGTTGGTCATGAGGTTAGCAACCCCATTCCGTAAAATATAAACTCCACTGCAACCGAATTTTCAACACTTTAGCTTTAAGGCACCCTATGTTACGCGGGGAACGTAAAGGAATAAAAACACGTGCCTGAGTTCCAAGAAGCAGAATTTAAACCTTCTTTGAAGGTTACTCAACGGACTTCAAATGCTTAAACAAGTATTATTCATTCACTGGGTAAGCTGAGTGATGCAAATCAATCTAACAGATCTCTTTCCACAATTACAAGTTAATTTCTTAATACTGTTAGATTTCTGTGAGCAGATCAAATCAATACTGTAGCAATAATTGCCTTAAAATTAGCATGGCTTTCAATAAACGTTTACTCTACACATATCATAATTCATGCGTAGTTTTAGTTTATGCTAACAAAACATCTACCCACACTTAAAAATATCGATTTAACTTAGACTTTGTGTTTACCAACTTAACTGAAACAGAAAATCCACACAGCGAATCAATTATCACTAATATATAGATATTTTTTGTTCTGATCTTCAGAGATCAGTTTCTGTTTTCTAATTTTTATATTCTCGTAAATCAATCCATCTTTCAATCAATCTAAAGATGCATTCCTCTCAAAATTTATAGATACTTTCAAGCACGACTACATTTAGTAGCATTTTGTTTATTCAATGTATCAATGTGGATGGATGTGCAATAACGCAGGTTAACAATGTGAAACAATTTTACGCTCATAAAATGAAAAAAAGCTGTGAATTAAGTTCTATTCTTTCCTTCTATAGCCATTGTTCGATTATACCTCGTTAGATTCACGCCTACATGCTAATACATTGACTTTCGCCTTTCGTCTTCCTGATTTACTCCACTACTGATCTACTATCATATTGTCGTCTACCTCAGTGATTTTTGTCGTTGAGGAATACACTTAAGGGTAGGAAGGTGTTTTCCCCAGAGTTAAGAGACTCCTAGCCGATGTTCTTCTTCTGTAGGCAAAATACGTTATGCTGAATATGGCCAAGTAAACCATTAGTTACCAATAGTCCCTGTGAATGGATGACATATTAGGAAAGCCGATAGTGTATATCGGCATTATCTAGAAGCATGGAATGTTTCTGCAGAGTGTGACATTTATAATGGATACCTAAGATTAGAGTGAGTCACAGGTAGTGTGATGAAGTGCGGTTCTACGCTAAAGTTTGTTTATGAATTTTATGGGATAATTATTCAACACCAACGCTTCTTCTATCTGTTTCATTTCATCATTTAGGTCTTTTTGTGCTACTTAGTGCTATCGCTTGGTTTGTTAAACACTTAACTGAGCCAGCCTTTACAGACAACGGATGAGATGCATTGAAGTCTAAATATCTATAAGAAGTATGCGTTGGTCTTTTATAAACACTAGTGTGCAATTTACCTTCTTTCGTTCGTTTGATTTTACAATCCAGCATAGCTAATTCTCCTTGTTCATTTTCCGATTCAAGTGTAAATTGTATTCTCCTCACTAGTGAGTTTATATGCATCAAGAAATCAAACAGGCAGAAGAGGCGTTGGTGCCGAATAACTATCCTATAAAATTCATTAGGAATATCGAAAAAGGTCAAAAGCAAAATAAAATTAATGGTAAAAATAATAATGATAATATAAATAAGAAAGAATATAAGGCATTTACAGTTATACCATATAAGGAGAGAGGGAACATCTGAGACCCCCCTGCCATACGTAGGATTCTCAATAAAGCAGGAATTAGTGTTGCGTTCAAACCTACAAACTCATTCAGTCAGGACAAGCTCTGTAGGTAGCCTGAAGGGCAAAATAACATGATTTACAAAATACCCTGTAATGACTATGAGTGAGGTCAACTGCATAGGTTAGTCAAACTAGTAGATCAGGAGTAATGAGATTGCCTGTCAGAACATAAGAATTTAGCTAAGGTTAGAATGATTGATCCCACCCGTGGAGATAAGTAATTTAGAAAAGTACTCAGCACTGCATGCATTAACACACAGCCACATACTAGGGTGAGTGGGATAGAGTCAAGACTCCAAAAAGTAATATGGGTAGGTGGAGAGCAAGAGAGATTGATTACTGAATCCTACCTGGTTCATCAAGTCCACACCCAACACAACACATGCAATAGAAGTGACGCAGTGCGAATACTTAAGATATGCATAGAAGATATAATTAGAAGTCAAATCAGAGGAGGATACTTAATGCCGTTAAAATGTATTCACTTCACATTATAAAATTCAAACGAGTTATTTATTTATTTCACTATGAAAGCATCTTCTTTCTCATCTGATTGTATTTGATTGATAGCACTGATACTATTATTTCTGAATGTACACTATCTTATATTGATTTTATTCAAATGTATGATCATCAATTGTTAGTCGTGTATATAAATGAAGCAAGAAAGTCTGTTGTTAGTAGAGCCTTGATATGATTATGAGCAGCAATAATTTGTGCTCGTTATATGGTCATCAATGAATATTACTGTATTACAACACTGTGTGATTTTATCAACATAAAACCTTATCTATAATGGAGTAGTATTAGCTGCTTTAACAATCCTACGTAAAGTTAATGATGCTCTTGTTTCACATGGTTTTAAATGTTGTGTGACTACTAGTCACTCACTATAAAGGCCTATATGTATTAATCTGAAGTGATACACACTTCTCTGGTTTTCTGTTATTAATCTTCAAATATTTGAAAACAAATAGCATAAGTATTTTGATCGTATTCTACTTTTCAATTTATCACTGTCACGTTCACTTTGATCTTAGCTATACTTATATATATATCACCCAGCTTTTATTTTCCCTTTCCACCTTCTTTCTTTAACATCATCTGTCTTTTATTTTATTAAAACTTCTTACATTTATCGTAATTTACACAGATAGGCAGTTGAAAGTGAAGATGAACACTGTTCCTATGACAACCGTTAAAGTACACTTTGACAGCGTTTAATATTTTTTGTTATTATTGAAAATGATGCTATGCAATGATAATTCTTTTAATTAGTGTGATTTTTTGAACGTATTATTTACCTGTGATATTCTCTACAACTCAAAGTAGCGCAGACCACCATATTGGTTTGTTTATTAGATGTATCAGTATTATTTACTGGATGACGTTTCGAACAAAATGTGTTGTTCATTATCATATCCAATCACACGACTTTGAAACTTGAGTTTTATAGTTTTCTTTGTCCTCTCTTATTTGTCGCAGGGGTAGTAGAATTTTCCAGACATCCAGCTGGATGGGTTTTGAATCATTCCTATCACATGTGTTAGCTGTTGATTCGATAAACAAATCTTCCGTTTTCAACTTCTCCCTCCACTCTGTTACATTAAATTTCAAAACTGTCATCTTATCCCATCCTATTTCATGGTTGTGTGTAATTGCATGTAGTGAGTGGTATAGCTGAACTATTCTGTAGATTTCTTATCTTATTCGGGTCAATAGTCTGACTGACTGCACCAGTTCTACTACTTCGACCTATGTATTTAACCTGACAATCGTTCCAGCAGGGTATTAGATAAATTAAATTGTTTTGTTTGAGAGGCTCTAGGGGATCCTTTAACCGACATAGCTTGTTTCTAATTGCATTTGTGGGTTTCAGTGCCAGCCACTTTTATTCCTGCCTGCCTTGTTAAGAATTTTGCGTCAGGTTTCCAAGGTTCCTTCTTTGTATGAAATTACTACTGATGATATAACTATTATTACTCATGAGAACAGCACACATCATTTCTGATTATGAACGCCTCAAGCAATTGTTCTCATTTTTACACAAGTCACTTCATTAGTACTACATTGCGCTTGATGTTTAAACGTTTTCTAGAAGACAAGCAGAAATATCTATAACCCATAGATGGTATAAAAAGAGAACTTCATAAACGTACAAATGAATCAATGATATTCTAAATACTCATTAATTTTAGGTATACTATCAACTACATAGTACACCGGTGCCATAACAAATCCTTCTTTCACCATACTGAATAGCGTAAACACTCATGACTACAACAGATTGGCCGACTTCTCAAATAACTAATCAATGATGTGAAGATTCTTCGAGCGGTACATAACCAGCTGATCCAGATAGCATAAACAAAAACCGTTACTTGTGACTGTTTCTCAAAGTCTGTCAAAATGTGGTCATAATATCACATGGCACGTAAATTACTATTTGACATAGTGTAAGCTAGTTCATGTGATAACATCACACATAAATCTGATAATAGTTCGTGTTCAATTAAAAAAAAAGAAACTACTGAATAGATACGTCATTTTGAAGACGTTTCTATGAAATGTACTATGTACTATACGCTGTCTGTCTCGAGGCAGTATTCAGTACTTTTTGACATACTAGTAACATTATTTCTACAGCTTTTCGAAAGGTTTGCAATGATCCTATCATGATAATTTAAATAACAGGTTTAACTTACACTAAATATAGGCATGGGTACTATTGGATTTAAGCTTTGTGAATAATAATAATGAATTTTACCTATTCCTAAGTCGTCTACTGGAACATGTTTTAAATTTAGACCTATTGCTAGTACGTCTCTTTTTCTAAAAGCTATGGAAAACTTACTCTTACTTAATCTTCAACCTTCACTTAAAGCCTTTAACCATCCTAAACAATTCACTTATAAACACAGCAGAAGTACTTTAGATGCAGTTTCAGTCTTGTACCATAACATTGTCTCCAGTTTAGACAAGGGGGCTAAATTTGTGTGCTGCGCCTTCGTAGATTACACATCTGCTTTCGACTGAGTACCTAGGGACATTCTGTTCAACAAGCTTGCCAAGACTCAAACTGACTGTTAGGTTGTCAAATGGCTGCATTCTTATTTCTCGGGAAGAAAGCAGTACACTGTATGTCAGGGAAAGTCGTCCACTTCTTTGCTTAATGAGGCTGGTGTCCCTCAAGGCGCTGTCCTTTCTCCTTTTCTGTTTTCTTTCTTGCATGATTTGCCTCGCTCTGATGAAATGAACTTTGTTAAGTATGCCGATGATCTAACTATTTCAACGTCTGTTAACACCCAGCTTGATTGTGTTAAGATGAACAGCTTTCTATCAGGAATTAGCAAATGGTCTTCGTGTAACAGCCTAAAACTAAATCCTTCCAAATGCCAGACTGTTAGTTTCAGCTTCTGGTGTAAAAGAAAGTTAAATGAAGCTGTTAGTTCCTATGACCCTTGCGAAATTGATGACATTGATAGAGAAGTCAAGTCTGAAGTTAAGTATCTTGGATGAATTATTTCTTCTGACCAAGCCTGGTCTTCCCATGTCTTAGCAATTTCTAGAAGAATATTTCCTCTGACTTTTTACATTGTGAAGTTAAGTCATTCAGGCATAACTCAACCCCTACTCTTACAGTTTGTCAACTCGTACATCTTACCTATTCTTCTTTACTGTTCAACCTCATTATTGCCTGGATTGCTTAAAAAGGGCTTTGTCATACTTCGTAAGACTCTGAAGACTGTCACTCAATAGGGCGAGTGGTATCCCGTTGGGCCATATCATTGACATCGTCATTGATAGGCACTTGATGTCATGCAAGAAATTTGCTAAAGGAATTTTGTCAGACTGTGAACATCCACTTTATCCGCAGCTTTAACCTTGCATCTCCCCAATTAAAACAAGAAGTCTTTTCAGAAGACTTTATGCACGTACGTCTAAGTGTAAAAATTCCATTATACCATAATTAACACGTACATTATGTGATGAAAATGGTGTCAGGCATGAACTAACTAACCTTCTTTGCACTACTGAATAAACCATTTCTTCCACCCTTACAGTACCAAACTTGATTGTTATTGTATTTCATATATTTATAATCCTCTCAATTTTTTCGTTTTTATTTATTTATTTTTCATATGTGTGAACATCGTTTAAGCTGTGTTATCACTGTTGATCTTGTATTTCCCCTCACTATAGTACATCAAAAGAACATTAGATTCAATACTCTATAGTAGCATGCTAAAATTTTTAAACTGAATCGACAATACTGTTTGATATAAACTCACTGTTATCATTATTAATATTTAATGATCTCAATTCGCGGTTAGAATATTTTTGACTTTATATCGTAAACGTGGACAAATTCATCTGGTTACTTTTGTTTTAATTTTAAATTTTATTAATATTTTAAGTGAATCAGATGCAATATTGTGACAAATGCTGAGAATTCCATTCTCTATTATAAGTACTGTTTTTGGAATAAAGTAAAATATTATTATTAAGTCTATGCCATTTTAAGCATATAGCCATTATTCTGAATATATTCACTGCATAATTACTCGAATATGACAGATGTTTACCATGGAACAAACACTTTATGTCTTATTGGGAGTGTGGATCCGAATACAAATGACCTAGGATTACCGCATTTAAAAAAATTCTTTTTTAACGTAATGGGCAATATTGAGGGAAAAATGGTCGTACGTGGTATTAGTTTTACACTTGTGGTTGGCCAAATGAAGAGCATTTTGATCTTAATCATTATTCCTTTGAACGCTCAAGGTCATATACTGAAAACAATTTTCTAACCATGATAAGAATGACATCTTTTTCTGGCAGAACTTGTAAATATATATAAAACTTACTCCATGTATCAACTGAAAGTTGTTTTAAATGATTAAAAATGCCCATTAATATTTTTTCAAAAGAATGGATACTGAACAAAGAATACTATTTCCGCTAAATTCATCATCAGGCTCTACTGTTATATATACATTATAGTGAATGAATGAATCAGTGTTATGAACAACAATAATGTTGTTTAATTACTATCGTATCAATAATAATAATAGCAATGGACATAGCAATAATATCAACATAGCACTGCACTACACTGAAACTGGCGGCCTGCTTAAATCATTGGGCTACCGAAATTACTTTTCTCCAAAATGCTTAATTTCATCTGGATTTATCGTTGTTTTAATTTTCCAGTTATATTAAATGACCTATACATAAACTTGCGCAATGATTTAACTTGCTTCCAAGTAAACGCTGTACAATTCTTCAACAAAATGAGGATACACTTCAGATTATTACTTCACATTTGAATCCTGTGTGAAGAAAAAAGTACTTTGGAACTGAATACGCTGAAAATTTTTGTACCGTATACTCGCATACTTTCTTAAATAAAGCTTTACCATTATTATTATTAATATTAGACAAGCAAATAAGGAAAGATAATAATACCAATTCATGAATTTGTAGTCTCCACTTAAGGCCGGTCAGGGCAGTAGTAGTGGCTGGCTGGACTTGCTTCTTATTTACACAAAGCACTGATTGTTTCATGCGAATCGGAATAGCCTCTGCTTTTGGGGCATACGGTACCTCGTTGTTTTTGGCAATTTATTTGGTACCCTATAGATGGTGGAGAAAAATTCTTAATTTCTTAGTAATTATCTCACTTGGTATATCATCCTTGAATTGCAGTCGCTTATAAAGAGGCTTCAAAGAACTTTTAATGGTGGCGAACTGCACCTCTTATTCTCTACACGAACAAGATGATTCTTCGGCTGAAAGATGAAGTGCCTAGTCTAGCCACTCCCAACTGTACCTATCGATCCAACTGCGTGTGTGGAGCGAGTTATATTGACCGTTGCTCTAGGAACTTGATTTTTCGTGCTCGCTCAGGGAAAACCTACCAGTATGGCTAAGTAAAGGTGGAGTGAAAGTCACCGACAGCTCGACATTAGACCACCTGGTCGAGCCACAAAGCCAACATTGAAGAATCCTTTTCTATCATCTATCGGGTACGAAATAAATTTTTTAAACATCTAGGCAGCGCATACTCCAAAACGTAGAGTCGATCGCGATTCACCTTAAACAACCAGTGCTCTGTGTGCAAAAGAAGAACGTCCAGCCAGCCACTACTACTGCCTTGGAAGGCATTCAACAGAGACTATAAATTCATGAATTTGCATTATTGTCTTTCCTAATATCTCCTATATTCAGTGTGTAGTGTTATGTTGATGCTATTGAACTGTAATCCATTGCTATTATTATTATTATTATTATTGATTCTATGTTATTTAAACAGCATTAATGTTGATCACAACACCAATTCATTCACTCACTGTAATGTATATATAACTGTAGACCGTGATGATGAAGCTATCGAAAAGAGTACTTATTCTTTTTTCATTATCCATTCTCCTGAAATTTGTTTTGGTAATGCCTTAGTAAGAATTACGATATGTTTCCAATGTGTATAATAGGTTGGTCAGCGTTTAATAAAGTAAAGTCAAAATGACTTTGGAAATAAAGTTAAATTAATGTGACTACGTTTTCAGTAAGCGGATATTAAACAATATAAAAAAGGAGATATAACACACTTATGTACAGATCATGTCATCTGATAAACTCTCTTTAAAGTCAACATGATTTCATACTTTAAGCATATTTAACCTTACATGAATTTAAGTGAAAAGAGATCTGAGTCGCACGTTCACACACAACTTCTGCTAGATACTTAAATATTAAGTTGACCCCAGGTGACCGGCTTATTATCGTTAGTACTACTAAGAAGACTGAAAAATGTTCCATGTGATATATAGAGAGCAATAAGTGATGTGAGTAGTCGGAGACCACTCGCTTCAACCAGCGGAGCTTGAAGGCTAAACAGAGATAACCTAAACATATGACAGTTATTTTGGCAGTCTGAATATAACCTCATCAGTGCTGTTGATCTCAGATATCCAAATCAGTACAACAAGCAACTCGAATTCCGGTTGGCCATTCTAGGTAGACCTATAACACAATCTTTCGGAAATTCGAAATACTTGTTGTGAAGTATATGCGACGAATCCTTACTCTATTCGTGATAAGCTGACCGATTAATGCCGGGGATGATTTGACCTTCTGTGAGAGTATCCTTTTCTCCCTGGCAATTTTTTTTAGTGAAATCTTACAGTGGCTTTTCAGATACTCACTAGCCTACGGTAATTTTGACGTTTGTTATTTGTTTCATTGTCTTATAGAAGATGTGCATTTCGTATTTAAGGACCTAAGACTGTCTGCAAGCATATATATATATATATATATATATGTATATATTCCATATTACAAGGCTTTTTTATTGTTATTTCAGAAGAATACACACCGGACAGTGCAGAGACCTACCAAAAATATCTTTTTACACCAAGTGAATATTATATTGGTGGATGGATGTCGGTTACAGACTTGAGAGGCCAACCATTAGCTGTACGAATAACTAGTAGTTCAAGTCAAACAGATTCAATTCTTTCCAGTTGGAATGATCTTCACTGTTCTGAATCAACCAATAGAAGTGATCATTCTCCCTGTATGAAACAATATATCTCATCAAATCCTATTGGACAACGTTTAAGCCAATCCGTGGCTGACTTTAAACATTCACCCACACAATCACATGATAATTCGTCTCATTCACATTCTTCACACGTGAATATTTCCAAACGTAATCGTAATAAAAGCTTAAGCCCAAATCGTCTGTCAAAATATTGTCAAGATCATAATACATTCTGTGGAATAAAACAAAGCTGCTCACATTCATTTGGAAGACATACATGCAAATTTATCAATTACACTGAAGTTAAATGTCAAATTGACGAATCATCATATTATGAAACTACACCGGGATCACATAAACATGTTAAAACTCACCACACTTTCGATACCAGTCAAATGTGTATTCCACGGAAAAAGTTAAAGATTCGATCCTGTGAATTTTTAGATGATATCAAACCATCTTTGAAGATATTTCGATCGAATAAATCGGCAGCTGTTCATGATGGATCTGAGTATAGCAGTAGTGCTGATACACCAGATCTTACAGTTAAAAAACATCATGCAAAGTTAAAAGGATTGCTTAGAAAACGATATCATCTTTATAATGATTCCAGTTTATCAACAAGGAAACTGGTTAAACTCTTTAAATTTCGAAGAAAGAAAGAAGTTTACTTTGGGAATAGTTCAAAGTTTGAACTTGCCAAAGCTGTGAAAACATTATCAGATGTTGGCCAAAGTCTGGCTGAAGGTTCAGTGGGTACAATAAGATACTTAGAGAAACCTGAAGACATTGATGTCATCGAACAACCATCATGTTCATATGAAACAAGTGTTTCAAGTGTACATACAGGTACGGAACAACATTTCGACTTGAAAATAAACTACACTTATATTGGAATTGAACAACACCTCAAAGATGTTAGAGATAAAAACTCTCAAGTGACACCTATACCTTCAGCGGATTATTCTGATTCTGGTCAATGGAGTATGAGTCAGACTACAACTGGGGAAGATATGAATAATTCAGGACAACATATTCTTTCAGATTCTGAAAGTCCCTTATTCGATTTTGTTGACAAACAGCAACATTTATGCGAAACACCTTTACAGAATGCAGTCGTCTCATCAATTCAACCATGTGATTTGGGAGAAATAAAACTGACACCACAATTATCAAAGGATCCAATGCCTGCACAAACGATCCTGGTAATGGGTAGTCATAGTCCTGTGAATTTCTGTGTATCGGGCTCCTCCGAACGCTCTTATGCAAATGAACAAACCGGTGCAAAAACTAAATCAGGGTCAGATTCCCATACAGAACCGAATCGCGCATCAGAAGATAATGTCTCTGAGGTAACACTGGAGAGTGTATCAATGGGAAATACTCTATTGAAGGAGTCTTCAATGACTCCGAATACAGATTTGAATGGTAGTAATTTATCTAATCACAGTTATCAGATACCTTCATCGAATTTGAAGTCTTTTTCAACAGTTTCGAGAGAGAATAAAGACACATTGTGCATCTCTCAACTTTCGGAAAGTATTACCACCTTTTCTCCACAGAATTCTCCTTTCTATTTGTATTCTTCTCAAAGAAAAGTTGAAGAATATTCGGAAAATGTTAATAAAACTTTCACTGAAGGTATTGACTGTGGATTAAGTCATCTTTCGACTTTTAAGCAAAATTCATCTGTTTCGTCTGCATTTCAAAAAGACTTGACTGACAATGAATTAAGTAAATCTACACAAGACAGTTATCCATCTGAAGCTGAGATATGTAGGGTAGGTGCTACAAGCCATTCAGAAAGTAAATCAAAAGATCTACCTACCTATGATAGCAGTCGACAATCTCTTGAGAAACAACTAAATTCAAATAATGAGACATCACCACAGTTGAGTTCTTCTCCGGGGAGATACCAAGCAGTGTTGTTGTTCATTGTGAAGTACCTACTACTTTGTGTACAAAAGATCTAACTGAATTCGACCCGAGTTGTATGTATGATGTAACAGGGACAAAAGCAGAAACATCTGAAGTCCGAAGTCTATTACTTACAGAGTCTAAGAAACCACAGTATCATAGTCCTTCCAAAGCTGAAGACATAGGCAGCAGTGTTAGTGAATTAGTCGACATTAATGCAAGCCCATTACCAGGTGGGAATATTCAAACACCTGACAATTCTCATCATCTTAGTGACACTAATGACAAAGTTGCATTCAACAATGATTCTAATACACAAAAGTTTGTCAATACCACAGTTCCATCTAGGTCCACATCTCAATCTACATCAACAAATGTACCTGACAGCGATAACAGTGATGCGCCAGTGAATAAGACTGATGTAAATATTTCCGTCAATGAAACATTGGATGGTTCAGAAGAACACAGTGGTGATCACATGAAATCTAGTGTTACTTACATCCGCATTAATAATCTATTCAAGATGTCAGGAAATCATTCAGAATCGGAGACAATTGTGTCATCGTCAGTTGTTACAAATATACCCAATATCACAGAACTTCCATCCAAGCAGGTTCAAACGTTTGAGGAAGATAAAACCGCAGATTCTTTGACAGCTAATCATATAATAAATGAAGGCGAAACATCAACATGTAATAGGTTAGTAGATTCATCTGATAACCTACGCTATAATCTGGCAGCCAGCGATCAACCAAATGAAACGTTTGAGCACTTATCGAGTGGGCTACGGGAAGATAAAACTATTGAGCCTTCATTTAACTATCCTTCGGAAACAAAAGATTACCAGAGTGATGATATTTCTACAACGAATCATGTTACCGATCAATATGGTTTGGACACATTTACGGAAGGTAAAGACACTCCTGATGAGTTAGTCAAGAATCACTTATTTTCTGATCAACAAACTGAGGTAAATGCATTTCAGATGTCGCCCTTCAGTCAAACTGGGGATTATAACACAGTTGCTCATAAGAATTTTGATGCACTTACTGTGGGTAATGATAACTCCTTGAATGCACAAAGCCTTTCGCAATCAAAAGTCGAATCATTGACAGATCCCAAGATCAATAATAATGGGAAACAGTCTAATACGGAGTGTGTCAATGTATTAATTAGCGGAAAAGAACAATCGGTTGACTCTGGAACTAACCGGTTCAATATTATGGGGTCCTTCTTACCAAAACAGGCAGAAGCTGCTGAGTCGACGGTTATCTTTACTAACTTTGCCACTAAGGAAGAACTTGAAAATGCTCATTCTTCTGCAGTTAGTGAGATTTCTAGTCAGCAACCGCCTACTTTTAATGAACCATTTCCTGACCGGAATACTACGGATGATCACACTGAAAGTAATACTTCAAGGTCTTCTTCCTTGAAAACGCATGACTACCGGTCCCCCGAAGAAGATGCATTGGTTACAGAAATTTATTATAACACTGATGAAATGGCTTCTTCATCAGGTAGTCAAGTGGCCGCTAAAAACGTTGAGGATGATTTCATAAAGTCAAGTAGAAACTTACATTTCGTCACTTTCGACTCGTTCAAAAATGCAGAAACAACTGTTAAACCTCAACAGGCTATTACCAATTCCACAGCTGCTAATTTTTCGTCCATTATTTCTCCGATAACAGTAGATGCTGCTCAGTATTCAGTTGCTCTGGTTAATATTCCAGTAAACGAAGACGACACTTTTGAAAATGTTCCACTAGTAAGTGAAATATCGCCTCTAATCGGTAGGCTGGAACAATCGGATATTTTAACATCGTCGATGCCTCATACAAGTTATTTTCCAGTTTTAAATTTATCTGAATTCGAAGATAAGGATTCTACGAGCAAACCAGAAACGCTACCTGGAGAGAAAGCCAACAATGTTAGAGCTGATCATCAGAAGACCTTAGGGCATGAAAGTCCTATAAAAAGTGGAGAAGCACAGTCTGAAATCCACATATTTACATCTTACGGTAAAGAGACTAGCGATCGAGAGGATTCCGTTGACTCATGTCTAGTCAATCCAGTGAAAATCTGTGCCTTATATGAATCAAACGATGGCAGACCACAAGAAAATGTTAACAATGACGGTGATACACTCCTAAGCTATAAGGCGAAGCCTTCTTCACTCACGGATAAGAATAATACAACAGTTGACAGTGATAATTCGGATAACATAGTAACCGATTTTAAAGGCAGTCAGTCTACACCCCCTTTGAGTTGGATTAGTGAACGATCAGATTATTCAAATATGACTTATTCACCCACTGTGTATTTGTGTAACTCTGAAACCAGCCTAGAGATATCACCATCTCTGATAAACTCTTCGTCACAATTAGAAAGCGATACTAACATGACAGATAATACTGCCCGTTGGCTAAATCACAGTTTAAATGGTGTTGAGTTCGGTGAACAGACTGTAAGATCCATTCTAGTCGACAATAATACTGAAGATGATAGAAAGACACTGGCTATTTTTTCACCACTTCAAACGTTATCACAATCATCATCAACGGAAGAGAAAGCAGTTGCAGACGAAGAAGACAGTTCAACAGCTCAGATATATGTGGATGATAAATATATCCTTCAATTGTCACAGCGCAGTAGAATCAGTGATCATGTCTCAAAATCTGAAGTAAGTGAAAGCTTTGTCTAACGCTAACCTTTCTTTACCTATAGGGAATTCTAGGACCTAATTTTTTGAGAATTTATTGTTGAATGATGTCCACTATGGTTAAAAGTATGACTCAGCGTGCGATGTTATCTTAACCTGAATAGTCGTTTGTTCTAGAGCCTAATGTAAACGCCCAAACCTGATGTACTCGTGTTATGATGTTTGATGACTACACTTTATCATAACAGTGTCATATTTCAACAACAACAACAACCAGTACCGATCAACATCAATGGGAAAGAGGTTACCTCCTTCTCTTATGCAGGGAACATCGTTTCAACTACGGTGGATGACCCGGATGAAGGTGTCAAAAGCAGAATCTGAAAGGCAAGATACGCCTTCATCAACCGGAAACCAGTTTGGAAAAATTCTGCACTCACTCAGCACAAAGAACCAGATTTGCATTTTCAACATTAATGTCAAGCTGGTCCTTCTTTAAGGGTCAGAAACTCGGTCAGCTTGTCGCGAAGGGTATTTCTAACAGTCAGTTACAGACTTTCATCAACAGCTGCCTTCGCCGGCTCCATAATGAAGACCAGATGTCCAGAAAGAAGAAGTAACAAGCCACTGTGGGAGCAAACTAATCAAGAGCCGATCTTTCAACAAATATGTGGAAGATGGATCGGGCATACACTGAGGAGACCATCGAATAACATTGCACATCAGTCCCTCGAAAGGAATTCAAATAGATGAGTGGGTTGTCCTAAGGTGACATGATGGAGATCATGTGAGGAGGAGATGAGAGATTATGAACAATTGTGGAGCTAGGCAGCTGAAGAGAACTGCAGAAAGCTGGACAAACTAGATATGTGTGGCTGAAGCCCAAGGGAACAAAAATAAAATAATAATTTCACTTGTTTAATGTTTTGTCCATACACTCCATCCTACCATTCTGAATTTTAATTTCCACATGCAATATCGCAAATTAGCATAAATGATTGACGTCTTTATCTGGCTAGTGTGGCATAATTTTACTCTCGCATATCATTTTTCCCATGGGCTTCAAAGTGGAACATGGGATTTTAGCAGCACTTCACCAGTTCATCCTGCTTCCTTCGGTCCTTTCCAACTAGCCCAACGATTGCCGACAGACTTTCGTCTGCTCCTCAAGTGATCTCCTCCATGTCACCTTCAAACCCATGCCTAACTCAAGGTTTACCATTCGGGTTCCATTTTAGGGATAATCTAGTGTGCAATGTTACCTATCGGTCTCCTCGGCGTGTTTCCAATCCATCTCTTACTGTAGTTGAAACGACGTTGGCTAGAATGTTAAGGATGTGAAATCCTTCAGATTTTTCTCGTTGATCGTGACTGGTGCTTCTTGTTGTTGGTTGGCTACTTTCATCACCTCCATCTTTCATATGTTTACTTGATATCTAGTCTTTGGTGCCTATTTACTGCCAATTTACTGGTTTTCTTTTATAGGTCTTGAAGTTTAAGGGATATTAGACATAAATCATCAACGAGATCCAGATCTTCTAGAGTTTTCTTGCCGGTCCAACATATTCCTGTCTTCTTGCTCCTCAGTCTCCCACACGTTCCAGTCCACCACAGTTGAGAATATCATCGGTGATTGTAACTACCCTTGTCTCACTCCTGGCTTCACTTTAAAGGCTGAGTGTGTTTTTCGTTGTAGACCTCTTGACACGCCGTCGAAAGTCTATACAAAGTAGATGAATTTGAGACAGGGATTTATTTGCCATTCTCCACTCTGTTAGATAACGATACGCAGAGGTGTTATTTGATATGTGAATGATTTGCTTCTCCTGAGTCTAGCACATTTCAGTTGGAGTTCCTAATCTAGGGCATCTTTTTGTCTCTCCATGGTCATAAGCTTGATTCCTTGCCAGTTCTTTCAGAGGCCTAAGTCGGCATTATTTGATAGTTTGACAAGACAGAACTTTCTTCCAACTAGTAGGTATCTTTCCTTCCTTCTAAATCATTTGCAGTCGTGGCTTGCCTTTGTATAAATTGAAAGTGCTGCCTGATATCTATGAGAAAACAGTTTCTGTAGTCAGCGGATAAAAATCAATAAGACTGTAGAAATATGCTTGTATAACTGTTGCACCATATGTTTGTATTGTCTTAAAGAAAGTAGAAATTAAGACAACTCAACTAGCCACGCTGTGTTGACATAAAATCAAAAAGATAGAAAGCTTATAAGTTTATAACTACTTTCATGACACAGAGAAACTAATTGGTGCAATCAGTTAGTACATAACCTTGTCGGCGCATTAGTTCATATAGTAAGTCCGTTTTCGTAAAGTTTTCGAGAGACTCACCACACGCTGTTACAGAGTATTCAGTTACTATGAAATTCAATGAAATGTGGTGATGGAGTGGAGGATTTCATTATGAGCTGATATCAGTAAGAGGACCACTGGAAAACCAGCTAGGAGTGCTGGACAGCCGTATCTTCCGTCCTAGTTTGCCACTCTTCAGCAGTACGCACCTGCTGAAGTTCGAACCCACGACCTCCTGGTTACGAGACTAGCGAGCTCGTAGACCATTAAGCCACCCACTCGATCCAATGGTCCTTGAAATCTAACTTCTGCCAATTCGCGACATTATATTATCATTATTGTTTCCTTGGGTTCCTAGTGGAACATAGGGCTTCAACTGCACGTCTCCAGTTGCCACTTCTGTCTTCTCCTGTACTTTTAACCTGCATCCATGTTAGTAAGTCCATACTGTTTCAACTCCTCTTCACACGATCTCTTCCATGTCACCTTTTCACTGACGATCCACTCGCCGCTTCCCTTTCGGGTTCCACTTTAGGGCCTGACGCGCGATGTCACCGACCGGCCTCCTCAACGAGTGTACAATCCGTCTCCACTTTCTCCTGCATATTTGTTGGTTGGCGATTGGTTCCTCTTTTGTTTGTTCTCAGCCATAGTTTCTTGTTGGTGATTCTTTCCGGCCCGGCCATCTGATCTTCAGTACAAAGCGAGCGAAGAGAGTTGTTGATGGAGGTCTGCAACAGGCTGCTGGAAACATTCTTTGTGACCCGCCAAGTTTCTGATCCATATAAAAGAACTGACTGACCTGACGTTTGTATTGAAAATCCGACTGAATTTTTTTGTTGATGCTGGCTGAGTGACGAAGATTTCCAGATTGGCGACGGGTTGATGAATGATGATCCCCGATTTGACATCCTCGTCTTCTTCGATGAGTTATTGCCTCACCTTCAACCTGCTGCACCCCAATGGTCACGACTTCCCACTAGAACTCCAGATCACTGCCTGAATAAGGCCAGTCGCTAGTGAGCATCAGATTAATTTCGAAGTATTGGTTTTGTGCGGATTATTGTTTGATTTTATGGAGGATTTCATCGTGGGCTAACATCACTTGGAGAAACACTGGAAAACCTGGGAGTACTGGACAAATGCTTCGTCCCGGTTTGGGACTCTTTGTCTGTACGCACCCAGCATCAGGCAGTAGCTCTTCAAAGAAGACATTTCGAAATGGTCGCGCTATGTAGTGAATTGGCAGAAGTTAGAATTCAAGGACCATTGGATCGAGTGGGTGGCTTAATGGTCTACGAGCTCGCTAGTCTCGTAACCAGGAGGTCGTGGGTTCGAACTTCAGCAGGTGCGTACTGCTGAAGAGTGGCAAACTAGGACGGAAGATACGGCTGTCCAGCACTCCTAGCTGGTTTTCCAGTGGTCCTCTTACTGATATCAGCTCATAATGAAATCCTCCATGCAATCAAACAAAAGTCCCTACAAAACCAGTAATTGAACTGTGATGAATTTAGAATTAGAAAGATATCGATCGAAATAAATATGATGATTTTGAGAAAATTACTTATCTGGCACCAGGTGACAACCATCCAATCTTGGCTATAACTTACCTTCTGGATAGTGTATTTCTACTATTCCCAGCTTGTTAAAAATATTAAGAATTCATACTGAAGGCTTGTAAACAGTGACAATAGAACTCATTTAGGTAATTGTATATCCTAATGGAATTCTCACCTGTTCATTACTAAATAAGAATGCAATATTACGATAGAGAAAGAAACACCCGACTTACAGTATAAAATGATATCATCATTCTATTTCACAGGCTCTCATCAGCTGCAGACTACCTGTAATTACAATGGTTATATTATAGATGATTATAACATACTTCAATGTTTAAGTGGTAGTAGAGAAGAAATACTATAAAATTGGCGCATACGAAATGTAAGCATTACAATTTTTAGTTAAAGTTTTCATCGTCATTTTATACGCTTTCAAAGTAGAAAAGAAGGGGGAGTAGGGAGACAGAAAACAGAAAAAATTTACAAACAGTGTTAGCTTGCAGGTTCACGCAGCAACTCAGCGAGTTGAGATCACTAAATTAGATGACTAATTATTGTAATCAAAATCAAAATTCAGTTACCAAGGGAGTAAGAGATTAATCACACTCTCTTTCTGTATGCATACGTATGGTTGGTTTGAATCGTTTGATTGCGATCCCTTCAGAAAATCGTAGTAAATTTGCTCTCCTTTGTCTATTTAACATTTTGAAGGACTTGGAAATCTCTACGAGATGACCGGTAATTACACTCTGAGAATATTTGCATCCTTTTAGGCACAAGTTTCTTGGGATATATTCTGAACAAAAAATTGTAATGATTACATTATGGATCCGTCAATTCAATAGTACCTCTTCTCCACTACCACTTAAAGCCTAAAGTATGTTATTATCATCTATATAACCATTGCAATTTCAGGTAGACTGCAGCTGATGAGAACCTGTGAAATAGAATGATATTATTTTACACTGCAAATTTCGTCTTCCTTTGTTTATCGAATTTTACCAGGGGAACAAAATGTATGAAATGCAATATTACTAGTGTTCGTCTGCACAGACTAAGGTATTCATGCATAAAATGGCTAGTTTTATCACAGAAGTCTTTAGTAAATGAAGGTTTGTCTAAATAGCTATTTCAATAGATTATCATCTAAGCTTTTTTTTAAATTATTGATCGACGATGATGTGACCATTTGTTTGAATAACTGGTTCACTGAATTCATCATTCACTCGTGCTACGATTCTTGTTCAGCTTACAATAAGATTACAGTTGAAAAACAGAACGAGACGGTTACGCGACTTTCCGCTGGATAAGACAGTGCGTCTAAGACTTTAAAAGTTTTAAGCACGCAGTGAACACTGCCGCATTACGTATATTTTTGGTCGACGTATTTCTCCGGATACCTCGTATCAAGGGATTGAGATAGTATATGACCACTTAACCGATTCAACTGACAGTATTCTCTGCATTAAACTGGGTCTCAATTGGATTTCTAAGTTCAGGTCGTCATTGAACAAAGCTTGGAATGGCAGTCACACCTCTCTCTATATACCTCAACTTCATTGGCTTTGAAAAGGCCTTCAACAGCTTCGATCGAGAGGTGATTTGGCAACTACTCCGCTACCTTTACTACTTCGCCGCCAACAATTATACATCTCATGCAACAGTTATACGACAATGCTGCATGCCAAGTAATCCACAACGAGAAACTCATCAAATCCTTCGAAGTGGGGACGGGAGTGAGGCAAGGCTGTCTACTATCGCCAATGATCTTCCTGATTGCAGTAGATTGGATAATGCGACAGAAAACGGGCTATGAGGAAACAGGCATAAAATGGACTCACAAAAAACTTGGAGGATATGGACTTCACCCATGTTGATATATGTCTGATTTCCCACAAACTGGGAGATATGCAAGTGAAAAGCAACAAGCTGGCAGAAGAAGCATTAAAAATAGGACTCCAAGTAAATATAGAGAAAACAGAGGTGATGAAGGTTCCTGGCCAACAGGAACACTAACACCAAAAGCTACAACAATAGACAACAATCAGCATAAATGGGAGGAACCTGAAAGAAACAACCTCCTTTACCGACCTGCCTATGAAGCATCGCTTCAACTACAGGCGGAACTGACGAAGATATCAAAGCCAGAATCGGAAAAGCAAGACAAGCTTTCATAACTCTCAAGTCTGTGTGGAGGTCAACAGCACTCAGCATCAAAAATAAGATCCAGATTTTCAACTCCATTGTGAAGTCAGTGCTATTCACTATACGGATCAGAGACTTGGCGCGTCATAAAGAGCATTTCAAACAAACTAAAGACCTTCATTAACAGCTGTCTTCGCTCAATACTTTGCTCAGGATCAGATGGCCGGCCAGAAAAGATCAGCTACAGGGAGGGATCTCTGGCAATGAGTGAACCAACCAGGAACCGATTGTGCAACAAATAAGCAGGAAGAAATGAAAATGGATAGGCCATACTCTGAGGAAACAAACCATCAAGTGACATCACTAGACAAGCCCTCGAGTGGAACCCGGAAGGGAAGCGGCAAGCTGATTGTCACTGTGAGGGTGACTTGGAGGAGGTCGTGTGAAGAGGAGATGAAAACATGTGGGCAGACTTGGAGCCAGGTGAAAACTTCAGCAGAGAAACGAACGCAATGGAGGCGCGTGGCTGAAGCCCTATGTTCCTCTAGGAATCAAACGAAATAATAATAATGATAAGTTCAGATTCCAGTCACCTGGTTTTCTTTTATATTCGAATAGATTGAAAATATGTCGTAAAGTGTGAGTTATTCAATCCAATAAGGGAAAAATTTTCCCGTCTGTACTTTGATTGGAATATCCAGTATGTTTGCATTTAAAGGAATAAGTATGCGATGTATTACTAGATGTATGTTGACAACTGTCATTTCTTTTTGTACAGACTGATGAAAATGCAAATGGAAGTATATGTCACAAACGTTTCATTTTCACTGGATACGCTTACAACATGCTCACCTCATTCTTTCATTTAGGTAAGTATGAAAGTTAAAATATGTGTCATTTACTTATTTTTTTCCTCAATAATTTAATAATTCTCATTGTAGCATTCAGAAAACAATATTCAGCGAAGACACTCTTTCCGACGAATTTCTTATCAAGGTGTGCAATCGTCTATATATATATATATATATATATATATATATATATATATATATATATATATATATATATATATATATATATATATATTTAAGAATTTATGTCCGGTGAGGGAATTAGATCAAAAGTGTGAACACATGAAATAGTAACAATATTATGAGATGCGATTAAAATATTTGTGATTATAATCATATAAAAATTTAAAACAATTAGTTCCCTTTATGAATTTAGATAAAGCAATAAGAAGACGTAATTTGTCTGAATCGTGTTTGTTATGTGTATTTGCGCAACACATTTCGAACAATCTGATCACACACGGACTTGTCATAGGAATATATATGAGATTTATAAAGAGGTAAGAGGTGAGAAAATAGACTTAGGTCAAGTAAAAAGAGCATATTGAAGGTTAAAAACTAAAGGAATCTTCAGAACAGATCTTTTAAACCTATCTATAAAACGTGTTTGGGGCGTATCCTAAAGTTTGTGGAAGCCCTAGCTGACAATTAGAAATTTTGAACTACTTTTATGCGTTCAAAGCAACAATTTGTCATCACATTAAACCTTCCTTGGTAAATTTTGTTTTGATACCATAGCAGATGTACTGTTACCTCTGCCATTTGGTTCAGTGGTCTTCATTGTTATTTTGACCTTCAATATGTTCTCTTAACTTCACCTAATTCCATGTTCTCACCTCTTGACTCTTAATCGATTTCATAAGTATGTTCCTATGACAATTCCGTGTACGATCAGATTGTTCAAAATGTGTTGCGCAAATACATTACACACCCCATTCAAATTACATCTTCTTATTTTTATTTTAATCCTTCACGTTTGCACTGGAACATAAGGCTTTAAGCTGCAGGCTTGAAGTTTCTGTAGCGGTGCTTATTTTTACAGTATGAGGTTGCTAGCCCCAAAGGAGTGCGTCGGCCGGGGATCGAGCCTTGGACCATGTGCATGGTCGGCGAGAGTCCCAACCGCTTTACCACCGACGCACGTCTTCTTATTGCTTTATCTGAATTATAATCAGAGTTACATGTCAGGTAGCAAAATAATTTATGTCATATATAGAATAATTCATAGGATGTATAGATGTTGGAATGGGGTGCATAATTATAGGATTAGTAGGTGAATATAAAATGTTACATAACATGGTGTGAAATTTGATAAGGTAGAATTCAATATTGTAAAAATGAAAAGTAATAATTTTGGATATAGAATGACAAAAGGGGACTAGGGGAAACAATTCAAAGTGCGGATTTAATTTCTGGATGGTGACTGGCAGTGGAATCCAGGATGCGCATTTCGTCCCCTTTGGGACTCATCATTTGGATATACCTACCTTTTCCGATGAGTGACGATGTTCCCACCGGAGCTCGAAACCAGTTCTTATAGTTTTAAACGCCAAAGCGGTATCCACTAGACAACGAAAACCACCTCTTGTGCAACGGCTCATATTAATTTAACAATAATCACAGTAATTGGGGAAGGATTGTACATACTTCTTTTGCACACAACGATCTCGCTTAAAGTCATGAATTATCAAGGCCTCCGCTATCTCTAGTAATCTGTAACGAAGAATACGCGGCATGTTAACCTGCATTCAGTAAACGATCTTAAAATCATGGTCAGGGTTGACAGAACAACAAGAGTCAATCAGGTGTTCTAGAATAGAGCTCCGCACACACACAATTCCTTTCTCTTTTGTAAAGCCATGCTGGAATATGTTCTCGTATCTATGTGGAAAGCGTCTTTATTTATATTTACTTATTTTACGAGTAATTATTATACATACTGGACAGTAAGATTCATTGGTCTAAAGGTTATTTTTACCGCTGACTTTGGAGATTTTGTGAATGAATTTCTAGAGGGTTATTTTCTCTTGAAAGATTTTACTGCCTCTTAGTATGTGATCCAAATGACGTAATAACCTCGGCTTTGTGTTTCACTTGGTTCGGTTTACTTAATCAAGCAACAGAAACTAGTGTCAACCTTGGCTACTAGAACTTTGAGAAATTGTTGCCCCTGGAATAATCATGCAAAAATAAAGAACAATTTTCAAGGAAATACATATTTTCGGTAAATTCCCATCAGGGAGAGAGATTGAACCAAATTTTTCATCACATGGAGATAAGGTTTAAGGATAAGCTATCGAGTCTGACCACTTCAATGTGCATTTATAAATTTAACTGTTCATGTGGAGACAGTTACATAAGTAGAACGAATCGATCAGCTCCTGGTCACCATCAGAAGCATTATTCAACGTGGTTAGGTAAATATAACAATAATAATCTACTTTATTCCAAAAACAGTACTTATAAAACACAGAATGGAATTCTCAGCATTTGTCACAATTTTGCATCCGATTAACTCAAAACATAAATAAAATTAAAACAAAATTCACCGGTGGAATTTGTCCACATTTATAGTATAAAGTCGAAAATATTCAAAGTACAGAATGAGAATATTAAATATAATAATAATAACAGTGAGTTTGTTTCAAACAGTATTGTCGATTCAGTTTAGACATTTTAGCATTTTATAGATTATTGAATCTAATGTTCTGCTGATATAGTCCAGTGATAAGGAAAGGCAAAATTAACACTTCTAACACAGCTTAAATGATGTTTACAGTTCTCATAAAATAAACCATGAAAAACAAAAATTGCAAGGATTATAAATATAAGAGGGGTAATAACAATAAAGCTTGATGTTATAAGGGTGGAGAAGGCTAGTTAGTTCATGGCTGACACTGTTTTCATCACATAAAATATGTGCCAAATATGGTATAGTCGAATTTTTATACTTAGAAGTACGTGCATAAAGTCTTCTGAAAAGACTTCTTGTTTTAAGTGGGGAGATGCAAGGTTAAAGCTGCGGGTAAAGTGGATGTTCACAGTCTGACAAAATTCCTTTGGCAAATTTCTTACATGACATCAAGTGCCTATCAATGGCGATGTCAACGATATAGCCCATTGGGATACCACTCGCTTTACTGACTGACAGTCTTCAGAGTCCTAAGAAGTATGACAAAGCCCTTTTCAAGCAATCCAGGAAGGAATGAGGTTGAACAGTAAAGAAGAATAGGTAAGATGTACGAGTTGACAAACTGTAAGAGTAGGGGTTGAGTTATGCCTGAGTGACTTAACTTCATAATGTAAAAAGTCAGAGGAAATATTCTTCTAGAAATTGCTAAGACATGGGAAGACCAGGCTTGGTCAGAAGAAATAATTCATCCAAGATACTTAACTTCAGACTTGACTTCTCTATCAATGTCATCAATTTCGCAAGGATCGTAGGAACCAACAGCTTCATCTAACTTTCTTTTACATCAGAAGCTGAAATTAACAGTTTACATTTTGTAAAATCAATCAAAAGTTTCACACCGGCACACTTAGTGGATACGGAGCACAAGATCGGTAAATGTTCAGTCTTTACAACTCTATACAAGGTGCTACCTCAACTCCTTAGGTTAGTACACTTTTGGTTGCTGAGCGTAGCTGAGGCGGTTGCCACAAAATATCGAGTTGTCTAAATTAAGAAACCGGTGAAAAACGTTAGACACAATCTCTTTTAAATCGTCGTGTTTGTTGATTAAATGGTTAATGGAGCTTGTATATGGGGATATTGAGGTCTTCAGGAGCCACAAATTTCAAGTCTATTTCGGCATTTTTAATGACAGTATCACTGACGGAAAAGGACTCAGTCTTAATTCCTGATATACGCCTTACAAATGATTTAAATGTTTATTATTTAGTTAATAGGGATTCAATCTGTTTCCAGTTGGACCAGGCATTGATATCTCAGTTAGCGAACCATTAGAAACCGAAGAGTACTAGACAGACGTTTGGTCTCAGTTTGAGACTCTTCTCAGTACGCACTCACTGCGGTTCGAATCCAGGACCACCGGGATAAAAGTCAAGCTCGTAGACCATTGAGCTACTGGGACCCAACTTAACGACCCACGAATTCTATCTTCTAGTGAAACGTCGTGACCAGTTGGATCCATTTGCTCGGCACTGGGAATAAATAATCACCAGTGACCTTGGCTGGCGGTCACGCTAAAATCACGAATTGGTACTAGGCAGAATTCATGGGCCATTGGATTGGGTCCCATTGGTTAAATTGCCTACCAGGCTGACTTGTCATCGAGAGGTACCGCCTTCGTTACCCAGTAGATGCGTACTGCCGAAGAGTTTCAAACTAGGATGAAACGTCTGTCGGGTGCTCCCCAGTTTTCAGTGCTTCACTAGCTGATATCGATCCGTGTTCAAATTGTATGCAAATGTCTTCTTTTCAAACTTTTCACATGGATAATATTCATAGTACAAATTGAATCGTTTTTAGTTATAGTGTAAATGTATGGACCTGCATTAGGAGTGATCAGCCTTAATTATTGATTTTCATTTATATTTTTACTATGCTATTTACCTTGTAAAATGCAACCGTAATTATATGCTTGACCTCTCTTTGATTTCACTTTCGATTATATTTTAAAAAAGTAACACCGTATTAATTTTATATCAATTTGATGCAAAATTAGTCACATCGTATTAGATAAAAGGGCTATTTACCTAAATATCAATAAAGGGGATAGCTGAAGTCATTTACTGGATTAATTTAAACGCAGACTTTGTGTCAACAAGATTATTCCGTGAATTGGAAACAGTTCAGATTGTTGTTCCAAGTATTGGTTTCTTTTTGTAGGGATTAAGTTTGCTTGGTTGGAGGATCTCATCATGAGCTGACATCAGTTCGAGAACCATTGGAAAACCAGCTGGAAAACTGTTTCATCAGCCTAGTTTGGGACTCTCCATCAGTGCGCACCCACCGCCAGGGTTAGAACCCAGGACCTTCTGGTTACAAGTTGAAC